GCATATTCGTGCATTTTATATTGCACCTGGTTCTAAAACAATTTAGAAAATGTTCAGAAAACTGCATGCTTTTATAAATATTTCAATCTGCGTGATTGAAAGTATTATATTACAGCCAAATAAAACACTAGGTCATAGTTTCCAGGATCCTGAGGAAACTTCATCTGGTGAGTGTTTGGTCCTGTGGTATTTGCAGGAGACTTTGGAGTCAGCTCGACAACCAACTCACCAAGATGTCGCATGTCTGATGCATCAGACAGCAATGCATTTTTATACATAAGTTCTGTTGGGTGGAAGATAAGACCAGTTCCAAGTATATTTTGGTAAGCACCCCATATCCTCAGCTTTATGCCTTTTGAACTGAGCTTAACGGTGGCTCAACCATCCCCATCACCTGCTACAGTATCGCCAGTTAAGAAGGAGAAATGTTAGATGCCTCGTCATTAGAACCTTTACTGAGGTTCTTCAATGGGCATAAGCACTATATTTGCACTCTCCATTAGTGGGACATCCTAAAACCTAAGAAGACTTTCCCAAATTTAAAGCCACCTAAACAAGCGACCAAATGCCTATAAAGCATGGCAAGGTGTCCTTTAATGCTTGACAGGCACCACTGCCAATAGTGACGGTGATCCCAGTAAACAACACAATGCCTGCTGTGATTTTGATGCTTGCACCAGTTCCACCACCACCAAGGATGATGGATACTTTTACAATCAGCAAAGAACATCACTGGAATCAAGTGACTGCATTTGCAGTGAAGATTGGGATACCAAACACCAAAGAGTTTCCAACAAAATGGTCAAGAGAATTGCCTCAACTGCAGCTGATTTTCGACCTGCCAATGACCCTACCCATCAGCATCACCGTAGTCCTGATTGTGATGCCAATCCAGATCATGAAGCAGCAGTGACTAAATGGTTGAAGGCATAGGCCTTATAAAACCAGAAAGTTGATCATATTTTGTGGTGCTCAATGCCACATTCGCAGTTATAGGAAATTGTTTAATAGTCAAACCTTAGCCCAGACCAAAGGTATTATCAGAGATAAGATAACAGCCAATCAGAAATCAACAGCCACTTTAGAGGACCTACTATTGGAACTGAAATAATTATAAGGAAAGTTTGGCTTCACAGCTGCTGTTGAATTAAGCGAAAGGTGAATTTTGCTATGTATTGCACATATGGGTTTTTCCTGTATTTTGAATTTAAAGATATGTTATTTTTCAAGGTAAGAGTGTTTATTTAGTGTTTTAGCTCATTTCTTCTTTTACTTTAGTAAAGAGCTCCTACTCGACCTGTTTGCTACATTTTGTAAGAGGATTTCATTTTGTATAGTGATCTGATTTTCTTACGAAGGGTTACTGTGATTGTATTTATCATTTTATGGCAGTACTTTATGTAAATTATTGTTAAAGGGTCTGTATTGATTTATTTTGTATCTACATCATGTGTTACACTACCATATCCTAAATGGGGGGAAGTTAACCAGTGTTAAAGGATTTGACTTGCAGATTTTATTTTCAAAGTGAAATATTTTATGTAGTTTTTTGAAGGGTTTTTATGACATTTATTTGTTAGTAATTATTCTGAATTTGTTATTTATTTTGCATGTGTTCAAAATTTACATAACACATTATCGAGAAAGCTGTTTAGTTGATTTCATTCTAGATGCCTTTATTTCTTTGTTCTTGAGTTGATAAACCTGTTCTGTCCAGGTTGTTGTTATTGTTTTTTTCTGCAATACTGAACATTGTGCAAGGTTTACAACAGCAGTGTTCTTCAATGGTTATGTCTTTGTCCTTGTCTTAATGAGAATGAACAGTCATGTGGATAGTGCTAGTTGTACCATTTCCTGAAAACTAAAAAAAAAGCACATTGAACTTAAACCATCTGGAAAAAGATCTTGAAAGAGAATCAACTGCAAGCATCACATTAAAAAACAACAGTCCCGTGTCAGGAAAAGAAAGCACACCCACTGTGTTTGTGTTTAGAGTGATTGTTCATTTTATATTTCCGTTTATGTCACCTTATTATTCCATTTAACATCACGATTCAGCTAATAATAGAGATTCAGCATTATTTCACGATCCAGATCTTGACCGAAACTCCAGTTATTAAGCGTACCAATCCAATAGCTCGAAGATTAACCTAGTTTGTCTAAATTATAAATATACTAGAGCATTACCATTAATAAATAATTATTGTAGGTCTTCTGTTCCAATTCGTTTTCTTAGCATAATATATATATATATATATATACTGCAGACTTTATAGTAGTATTTTTTCCTTATATTTATCATTAATAAACAACTATTACACATTTTTCGTTCCAGTTATTTACCTTGACCTTATAATTAATGAAAACAGTTATTATAGGTTTTTTATTCATGTTTTCTTTTCTTGTTACAGTTAATATATACAACTCTTACAGGTGTTATTCTCGACTTCGTTTTCGTAGTTTCTCTTCATTTTTTCTTTCTTATTACTACAATTCATAAATCAGTCGTTCGAATTTTATTTTCGGGTTCTTTATTCTTCGCATTGTAATTGATAAAAAAGTTCTTACAGGTTTTAAGGAAAAACAGAAAAATATTATCTTAATCGCTGCATACTAAGACTGAGTTGTATTTAGTATCTTAGTAACAACTTATATATATATATATATAGTCATTTAGGCCTCAGTATTTTACTGTTTGTTTTACAGTTATTACTTATCGAATACACGAATTTAAAACAGCTGTTTTGTGGAAGCTCATACAATTTTAAAAGTGATAAAAATATCCTAATTTCTTCTCTCGAATTCTTCTAATGTACTATTTTATTTTAAAAAAACTGAACATTCTACCTGCTAATTGCAACGTTTCGTTGAGATACAAATACATGTAAAGCATTTTAAATGCTGGATGTAAAGGATTTTATTCTTATTTACTCTCTACATTTCTGTTCTTGTGTGATAATATAAAGTTCTAAGCTTTATGAGCTTATCCATGTTATTGTTTTCTCTAAAACATTTTTGTTTATTTGCCTTTATAATTTTTGTAGTTGCCAACGATGTTGATTCTTCTCCATCACAATGATAAAAGTATACTTTAGTCAGAATAAATTACCTTGTAAATATTAATAAGGATGCTAGATCCGGCTGAAACAGTAAAAGATGGTTTCATTCTTGAACTTTTCAGTTAAGTAAATAAATATATTAAATGATGTGCTAAAAAGATTGTCATAGAAGTGAAAGATACAATGAAAAAAACGGTAGCTTATGCTTACCTTATCAACGTTAAAATAACTTTTGCTAATATTGACAATAGCTTAACATATAACTTATAAAAGTATTCATATAAAATTTTTACTTTTCTCTTGTGAGGTTTATTCTGTGCTGCTGGGTTCCTCGATGCATAAAATCAAACAATTTAGTACCTTCTAATATAGCTCTTATCAAAACATAGTTTGTAATCCCTCGGGGATATATTATATGTGTATACACTACATATTCGTGATTATCGATGTTTCTTTTTCTCCGTGACTGTATTTCTGAAAAGATATTTGCATATTTCGACCTAAAATAAACCAAAAATATAATATAATATATATATATATATATACGTACATACATAAATTACCATGCCAACTCTAAATCAAGATTTCTTTTATAAAGCAACTAAAAAATTTCAGTTGGTTTTAAGGTAGATATAAAATTCTATTAAACTCGTAATATTTAAGCAAGCAGTAAATTTAAAGTCGAATTGTTTGTCGTTGTTTCTTTGTAACCGTGTTTCTGTTTCAGTATTACATAAGATGTCATGATTCTGAACACTTGCAAGAGTAGAAAGAGTCGTGGTATCGCAAACAAAACAAATTCTAGCATTTTAAGTATGATCTGTTCTGCCATATTTTAGATAAATAAAAAGAAAGTTGATCTTTGTTAGGCTATCTGTAGCTGTAAACCCTTACTAACTAATTTTGAGTTATAGACTGAAAAGCGTGGAAATAGTGATATACCTGATCAGCCACTGCGTTACCTATCATTTTATCCGAATGTTTAAATAGATAGAAGCTCCTCATATAAAAACAGCTTTAGTCGGGGCGAGAGTGGCGGTCTGGTTAAGGTAACGGATTATAGATGTGCGGATCTTCTGTTCGCATCCCATTACTTCAAGAAAAAAAAAAGTCGCAATCCGCACTTTGCGGTTGTGGGTACAGTATAAGGGTGACAGTCAAATTCTTCTATTCGGTAACACAGGAGTAGTCCAACAGTTTGCGGTGGACATTGTAAACTAACTCCCTTCTATCGAGTCTGTTAATTCAAAATTAGAGACGCCTAATATAGATAGCTTTACACAGCTTTGGCAACTCAAACCAGTTTCTGATTTATTACTATCGACGATTTCCCGAAATCAGTCTCTCTCATTATAGGACAGAAAGCTAGAATTTTTGACTCACACATATTACCGTTAATGATTTCTCGATATCAATATCTCTCATTACAAGACAGAAAGCTAGAATTTGTGACTCACACATATTACTGTCAATGATTTCTCGACATCAATATCTCTCATTAGAAGACAGAAAGCTAGAATCTGTGACTCACACATATTACTGTCAATGATTTCTCGACATCAATATCTCTCATTAGAAGACAGAAAGCTAGAATCTGTGACTCACACATATTACTGTCAATGATTTCTCGACATCAATATCTCTCATTAGAAGACAGAAAGCTAGAATCTGTGACTTACACATATTACTGTCAATGATTTCTCGTGAGAGCATTATAAGAGTAACAGTCAAATCTTTCTATTTGATAACAATAGCCTAAGAATTAGCGGTGAGTGTTGTTTACTAGCTGCATTCATCTAGTTTATCAGCTTAAAATAAATGCAGAAAGCTTTTGTTGTTTGCGCGAATATCCGAAAGAAGCCAGACCCAGTATTATAAAGATCAACAGCTTGAGAGTAAAGGAATGTCCTTTAACAAATATGTTTGTTTGTTGATCTTTAGGTCATATTACTGGAAGAGTCATGGAAGGACCTGTTTTTACTGAATATGGCGCAGTGGTCAGTTACATCGGATATTTTATCCACTTTGCCCGGGCCTAAACTGACCGCACTTCGGACAGGTTCCGATCCAAAACCTGGTGAGCTCCAATCACAACATGCTTCTGACGTACACTACATCCAAGATGTCATGAGACGATACCGTCAGTTGTCGCCAGATTTTACTGAGTGTAGCTGTTTGAAAGCAATTGTGTTGTTTAAACCAGGTACTAAGCTTTTATTTCAATACTTAATATACATTAAGTTTCATATCTGGACTAAACTTACAGATTGTTATTATCCCAGTATTCTATGCCTGTTTTCAATAGTGACAACAGCTTAGTACTTATGAATTATAGAACCATTTATGGGAAATACATAAATAGAAAGTCAGTAACCGTTTTAAAAACAAATTGGTTGCAAATAAGTACGGTAAGTATAGCACTAACAACTATAGCTCTGTTTTAATGAACAACCGAATATCGTTTTGCCTTAACTAAATGCTAATTTACTAATGTTACCTTCACCGTACGTTTACTTTATTGTTAATAAATCCTAGCTTGCTATTGTCATATTACCATTCGTGTGTTTATTGTTAACACTTACTAAGTTGTTATGTTTATTATAACATTATTCCAATTAAATATTAATGAATATCATGTCCGTTATTTCGAAGCTCTGTGTATATTTTGTAGTCCAAAATAATGTATTATGTATTAATAATATATTATTATGTATTTCTCTATTTACTGCATATAAATTTATTATTTGTAAATATTAAGTTATTATGGTTATTATAACCGTATTTTAATTAATTATTAATAGATAGTAGGTTCGTTATTTCTAAACTGTGCGTATATTTCGTAGTGAAAGCGAACAAGATAAATTGGTATATGTAATTATATTTTCCACATATTTATTTACTGCTGCATATAATAAGCTGTTAAGTTTATTGATAGGTGTATATCGAAATGATATTAACAGATAGTAAGTTCGTTAACTGTAAACTGTGTGTATGTTTTGTAGTAAAAAAAGTTAATATATTTTGTTGTATTTACCGTATGTCGATTTATTGTTAATAGCTTCTCGGTTATTATAATTATATTCATTGTAAATAAATATTGTTAACAGATACTAGTTCGGTTATTGTTATAAATGATAAAGTTATAGTATGTCCATTGCATGGTTGACAGATAAAAGATTGTTATTGTTATACATATCATACGTATATTGTTTAGTCACACATACAGAAGTAAATGTACAGTACGTACATTGGTTTTCTTATGTGGATTTACTTAGCTTAAGTGTTCTTAATGGTAATAGCAACTAGATGTTATGATTATTATTGTCGTACATGTATTTATTGCTAAAAGATGCCAAGCGTTATGATTATTTCTGTAAAGTATTTTTATTCTTCATATGTGCTGGTTGTTGTGATTATTCTTACCTTATGTCCATTTATGTTGTTGACAAATTCTAGATCTTTTTTTTATATATAAACTTACGGCAGCATATTGTTTTACATGCCATCCGTTCATCCTACCACTAATATTTAGTGGCACAGCGGTATGTCTGCGGACTTACAACGCTAAAAACCGGGTTTCGATACTCGTGGTGGGCAGAGCACAGATCGCCCATTGTGTAGCTTAACTACAACCAAACATATACTTAAAATAAGCTAAATGTAAGTTAACAAATACTAAATATTTATTTTTATGTATTCATTTGATACCAACATATTTTAGGTTGATATTCGCACACTTTACTCTATGATCATCTTGTTATTAAAATGTATTAGTTATTTCACTTCTACTTAACATGCTGCGATTTTTAGGTTAACAGATTGAATGTATGCTATCTTGTTTTTAAAATCTACTGTTTATTATTGTTCTAAACAATGGTTGATATTGTTCTAAATATGGTTGATATTCGCACACTTTACTCTATGATCATCTTGTTATTAAAATGTATTAGTTATTACACTTCTACTTAACATGCTGCGATTTTTAGGTTAACAGATTGAATGTATGCTATCTTGTTTTTAAAATCTACTGTTTATTATTGTTCTACATATAATACCCCAATTCTGGGAGTAACAGATTATTGGTTGCTCTTGATATACGTAACGAACCCCAATTCAATGTAAATATATGATAGTTGTTGTTCTTATTACCTTGATATCTTTACCTTTCATGCATTTTATTGTTAACATTTACTAAGTTAATATTGCTTTGATTGGTTTCACTATAAATATTGTTATAGTTTCACATAAAACTATATTATTGTTAATTGAGTTTAAGCTGTAATTGTTATATCTGTTATACGTTTATTTTGTTATTACATTGTAATAAATGTATATTGTATGTTCCATAGGTCGTTAATATTAAACGAACCGTTCGTTCATTTTGTCGTTACTTTGTAACTTATAGCTTTATTGTTATGTTACTGTACATTTATTTTGTTGCAAACAGAGAGTAGGTTGCTAGTGTTAAATTTTGTTGTTACCTTATCCTAGATTGTCATTGTTATGCTTATTCTGCGCTCTTCTAAAGTTGCTAAAAAATATTTGGTCCTTATTTGTATATTTTCCTTTATAATATTTTTTTTATATTTGTTGCCTGTTTTGCAAGTTCTGGGTGGTGAGTTGTTTTCACTGAGTGTCCGCCTATATTTTTTGTTTTTGAAAAAAAAAACGCTTAAAATGGAACTTCCCCTGATTGTGCTTATGATCTATTATATAGCCACCACATAAGGGATCGAAGTAACAGACCATATCAATCTACAAAAGCATTTATATTATTAGTGTTTAACTTTAATGAAGTAAAAGTATTTAAACTTCATACTTCTTGTCTTCACTTAAAAAAAAAAGACGTTTTCTATTCTAATATGATTATCTGCCTTAGTTTACTATTTTATAAGTGTAACCCCTTAGCGACAGAAATAATAGAAACACTAAATTAAAACCTTTTCCCATATTAATTGGTAAAGAATAGTCCATTAAAGCCTGCAGACGGAAATTATTTGTAAAGGTTATAAAAGATAAGTAACCACTGACAGCCAAAAACAGACTATCGTTTGGACACTTGTAGTATATCAGTTGTAACTAAAAACTGCCCACCGGTGGCTCAGCGGTAAGTCTAATGGCTTTTAACGCTAAAAATCTGGTTTCGATACCCACGGTGGGCAGAGAACACATAGCTGACTGTGTAACTTTGGGTTTAACAACAAACCCGCTAGCTGATTAAAAACTGGTTTTGTTTTTAATTTACACGTTAGAATTTTAACCTTAGTTCTCTTGAATGATCTCTGAAAGGAATTTCTGAAATAATGATCTCTGAAAGGAATTTCTGAAATAATGATCTCTGAAAGGAATTCCTGAAATGCATTATTCTCCATGTATTTTCAAGTTTCACGAGCTGCATATCGATACATTAACCAATTTTTTTTTAAAACATCGAACACGTTAATTTTTCCGTTTTTGTCCTACTGGTTGCAGCTATACCCAAGCATAATTCGTCTAATGGTAAATGAAGAGGCAATGTCTTAAAACAATATTGCTGTTTTTTCAGTAAGGACAGACACTAGCTAACTCATTTTAGTCACTATTTTAAGAATGTAGGTATTTCAAGAACTGATTAAATTAGTACCTCTCCAATTACAGGGTGTCTGAAAATTCTGGAACCATAGGTGAGTTGCAGCTTTTCTTAATTTCAGATACGTGACTGATTATGGCGTTGTCAAAGCATGAGAAGGTGTAGTTAATCATGCTAGTAATCCAACTTGTTTCAATTTTCAAGAACAGCACATGGAACACATTCTGTAAAATTCGTCGAAGTGTCTTATGGTTCCAAATTTTTCGGACACCCTGTACTTTTTACATCCACATACCAGGTTTATTCCTTCTACTAAAATTAATACACTGTAACCGATTGTTGTTGTTTTTAATATTTTTTCGCAAATAGCTAACGATTTACATATTTCCATGCTATCTGATTTTATTTTTTAGAAACTGTAGGTTTATGTGATATTCATCCAGTTGAGATGTTACAAGACCAGGCCCAATGCATTTTGGGAGATTATGTCAGACACAAATACCCTCGGCAGCCAACAAGATTCGGACGGCTTCTTCTGTTGGTTCCTTGTCTTCGGGCTGTTAGCGCAGGGATGGTGGAAAGACTCTTCTTCAGAGACACTGTTGGAGACATTCCCATCGAGAGACTTCTGGGAGACATGTATCACATGGAAAAAACAGAGTGACTTTACGAGTACAATACAGGTGTTTTTTTTTGGTTTTTTTTGTAGATAAGTTTTATTCGAAGGATTCTGGATAAAAGCTATTATAAGGACATTAAAGAGGTGGCTTTATATGTAAGCTACTGTTGGGAAGTGGTGTAGTAAAATATTGGTAAACAAAATCTTAAATGATGAACTTAAAAACGTTTCATTTGAGAATGTTAGTTGTTATTGAATTAGGTAACGTGTCATGTTTCTAGTTTTATTTACTTTACAGAATACAAAATGTTGAAGAAATTGCTGAATTAATGAAACACTATTTTTTTATCCACTTGGAAAGAAAACGATCCTGGCAAACATGTATATTAAAAGTAAAATTTTACACCTTCTTTAGGAAAGAGGATATTTCTTCATTAGGACAAATAATTTACGTCTTCATGATGAAATAAATTATAAATCTTCATCGAGTAAAAAAAGGCTTACGACTTATGACTTGATCACACTTCTAGAAATATGTCTTCAAAAAGATGGAACATGAATTTTGTAAAAGTGAAGTTTTGTGACTTCGTCAGATTTCGTGATATATATTAAGAAGTGTAAAACTATTTCTTCCTTCGAAGTCAAGGAAGTTTATTAAGGTCTACATTAAGAGTGGTGGTATATTTCTAGGCCGCAATAAATGGCTAATACAGGGACAAGTCTTTAGAGAAGCGTGCTAAAAGGTAATATGGGAATGGTCGAATGTGGCTTCATTGAAATTTATGGTATTTGATTCACCGAGAGCTAGCTTTGTTTTCGAATAAAGCCAACTCTGTAAGAAAAACAAAAACAAACAACTATAACTTGAAAAATGTCCAGCGTTATGATATGTTTCTTTCAGATACCACAACGATTACGCTTGTTAGGATTATAGTCCTTAGGCTTCTAGTGAGAGGTCAAAACCAGCAAAATGTCCTGTCACTTCGGACAAACATAGAGGAAATACAATGGAAGATTAACTACTTTAACCTTCGTGTTTGTAAATAATTATGTTTCATGTTAAAACCTTCTGTCTTTGTACATATATATATGTTTCAGTCTCGAGCACTGAGTTTTAGATCTTCAATCTCTTTTTAAGACCCTGTTCCACAGTATAGTGAAAAAACTCTACCAAACACACTTTTGCTGTATATAAACACAGAATAGTTCATGATGTAATATGTATCTTCACTTTCACAGATTCTTTAGTGACTTAAACATGTGACTCATTCTAGTAAAGTGGTGAAGGTACGTACATTCGATTGTTTTATTTTTGTCCTTTCGGTATTTTAGTCATGGAGATTTACTCCAGGGATTATATATTTTATCAGAATAAAAGAAAATGCTGGTTTCAATTAAATCCACTGACGATTCTGCTTTTTGGAAAAAAATATTTGAAATGATCTCACAACTTAGTTTTTTTTTTAAATAGTTTCCTGGTTGATCACTAATATTTTAAAAATTTGTTATAATACAAAATTATCCCAAAGTTTAAATGTTGAACAATCTTTTTTCACTGTATTAGATTCACGTAACAAAAAAAAAACAATTATTTTCTTTCGAGCAAATCTGATACTTTATAAAGAACTTAAGATTTATAGATGGAAGTTCTGTTAGGGAAGAAATAATGTTATGAATGGAAGTTCTGTTAGGGAAGAAATAATGTTATAAATGGAAGTTCTGTTAGGGAAGAAATAATGTTATAAATGGAAGTTCTGTTAGGGAAGAAATAATGCATGATCAAATAATGCAGGACACAAAATAAATTTAAATTTTTTTATCCAGACGTTATCAGAAAACAAATTTAAAAATTGCAATATCCGTAAATTACACTTATGTTAAGGATATTCCCTCGATAAAATATAGGCCTAGCCAAAAAAAGAACCATGTGAAAATGAAAAATCGATCAGTGATTTGTTAGATGAAGTAAGGCTAAGTAACGATAAGAAATTAAAAGGTTATGCACTCTCAATAATTTATATAAATCATCAACATACTCATTAATTTTCAATACGATAAATGTTTATTTTGTATTATTTAGATTTTGCCACACAAAAAAGGTGAAAACGATTAACTTAATTAGTCAGTATTTGCGCAAAATATCTTATTGGCTGCACGTTATATTTGGAATAATATATTTAGCTACAAAAATGTCAGTATCAAAGATTGCGAAGAAACATAGCGTTGTAAATTTCATTATAAAGTCCAACTGTGAAATACTTAAAAACTAGTCCAATTATTTCAAACATTATTTTATATGTAATGACGGGTAATATATATTTCTTGTAGACGCCATCTAGTGAAACGAGGGGTTATTTTTCAGATCTACAAGATGTTACTTCAACTTAGTATTCTCATATTTGATGCTTGTCAAACTACCTATAATCAACTTTTAAGCAAATTTAATCAATAAAAATATAATTGGTATATGGTTTAATTAAAGAGAATACTTTTATACAACAGCAGACATCATAACAAGGAAGCTGACAGGAGTAATAACATTTAGCTAGTATCTGGCGCTCATTCTTCTGAGTGGTATAATCGTCTTCCTCTGTCTATCTTTGTGCCAAGTTTAGGTTTTACAGAATGTACTGTGTTTTATGCCTTTAGAAAATATATATGAAAATAAATGTAACCTGAGGAAGCCACGAGATTGTTATATTCCTGGTGGATCTAATAATGGTACAGCGTTCCGATAGTCCTGAAAATAGCTAGATCGTACCTGTTAAAGTATAATAATTTCACTTAAAAGTCTTAATTTTAATAAATAATAAATATAGAATAGATTATGAAAATATAAAAAATAAAAAGCTATTAGAATTTACGAAATAAGCAAAACATCTTAACAAGTTTCTATTTATTACTGAGTATCACTACCACTACTAAATGATAATTGAAATCATAGATAGTACTATGTGTGTGTGTGTGTGTGTGCTTAGAGAGAGAAATGAATAGATATGATGCAGTAGACGGAAATTCTCACTTGGAGTGGGAATATTCAGAGGTTATATTTTATCTGAACTCTTTAACCCTAATTAACTTATTTAAATCAACGTCAATCGATACAATTATTTTAATCTGTGCAAATCTATATTTTGTTTTTGCATTAAACAATTCTTGATTATGACACATTTAAAAAATGTACGAAATGTTAACCCAAATAGAACAAAATTAAAAAACGTTTTAGTTTTAATTACTAAAAATGTTCAGTGTTACTGATAAGATTTTCTTCTCAAGTACAGACATTGTAGTTCCTCTAATTCAAGTTTAGGCGCTTTTAACATCAGCTTCACAGAATATACATTTTATAAAAGTTAACTGATCGGAAATATATAGATATATATTGTAGGTGTATCAAACAGTTTGTTATTCTCTATGAGTTTCACACCGTTTTCAGGTTGTAGTCTATTGTTTGAACCAATTAAGTAAAATAGATTTAGGTAGCAGGAAAAATGTTTTTGCATACACAAAAGAGTTACAGCATGTTTTATTTTTATAAATTTTTATTTTTGGTAATTTCAGTGTTCGGATTTGCTTAGTTTTGTTCACGAGGAAAAGAAATGTGAATGTGTGAATGTGGTGCAAAAGTGTAAAAGAATGGATCATTTGCAAATACATTGGTGGACAAAATGTGCCAATATGATTTTTATTTCGTGGTTTACGTATATTTTATGTGGTTTTTCAGGGTTTAGTATAATTCACAATTATATGTTATGTAATTAATTAGAACAAATACTATCAAGAAATAAATATAAACCCATACAATAATTTCCTTCTTATTGATCAGTTGTTATTTTTAAATGTTTATTAAAAGTTAAAATTGGTTGAGTCTAAGTTTTAATTTATATATTTTTATTTTCGTTTTGTATTGATACTTTAGATATAGTTATATAATTGGCAGTTTTAAACTCACAACTTTAAGGGGTGTTGAAATATAAAGCCAAATTATATTGTACTAAATAACAAATCCACTAGTCATGCTGTTGTTGTTTATTTCAATAATAATACAGGTTATACTTTGTTTTATTTTGTATTTTTTTAAGAAAATGAGCGACAACTCTATCGAAAATTTGAACATAATGCTGTAGTTACCATATGTGATCTATGCTGTAAATATAAAGCTTTCCATGTGTTCACCTAGAAAATGGTTGATAATCCTTTCAAAATTTTGAAAGTTGGTAATCTTCTAAGACATTTAAATTTTCTTATCTTGATATTTTACTTCGACAATCACGGTCTGAGTAACTGTATTGTCTCGTGTAATAAGAATTTTTTGTTAGCCAAAGAATAAATTTTGTGCTGTTACTTTGTCGTTCTGGATATATGTTTTGTTATAACAACTTAAAACACTGTACTGATTAAAGTAATTGCAGAAAATATGATATATATATATAAGGAAAAACATTAACATAAGAGCAAATTAATGAAGGTTGTTAAATAATTGAAATGATAAACTTGTTTTCTTCTAATTTATTCAAATACAATAATGTTTAACTTAAATGAAAATACATTAATTGAAAACCCACTATTGAAATCTGCTTTCTGCTTGATGTCATCGACATTGGACCACATTTATAGCGATGCTTTTCATACCTTTGACAGTTACTTTTATAAGTTATATTTAGCTAGCAATTCACTGACAACTTCATCTAACTTTAATGGAAAACGTAACTGCAACATTTTTAAGGCTCCTTGCTTCAATACCACTTACATACTTTTTCTCTCATTATTTTCAACATCTTTGACTTCCACATTTTTTTATCACTGCAAGTATACATTTCTAACAACAAGCAGGTAGCTGTTATTTTATAGTTCTGAATCTATAATATCCAAGTAAATTAGTAATTTAAATATTGACTCCATCTCTTATGAGTTCATAATACAGTAGGCTATCGAGGATTAAAATCGCCGGTCATTTATAATATTCATAGCTCATTTCACTTATGTTTAAACCTCAAATTACTGACTCGTTTATATACCGTTCACTACCAGTGGGGTCTACATATTGCATCATACAGAGTAATTTTATGTTTTCGTCTGTTACAATACTCAGTTTCAAAAATACTGACCCAAATATTGTGTGAAAACACCCATTTTCAAGACTCCCACTGGCACAGCGGTATATTTGCGAACTTCCAATACTAGAAACCGGGT